TCTCTCTATCACTGTTCCATATAAATATTCATGAGATTACATATATATTTTTTGTGATAAATTATATAGTTGTGTGTGCTAAATAAAGCACTTATCAGTTGTATGTGCTAAATAAAATCACACTTATTTAGACAAACATTTCACAATAATTTGCACTTTGAAATATTGTTGAATTTTTACAAATGCTCAGATACCCTTCCTTCATGTCAGTGGTTCTCAACATTATTTTCCACTGGGCCGCACTATGGTCCAAGTGCAAGTCTCATGGGCCGCACGCATATCATTTACATATTACGTCACCAATACAAACCAACCAGATTATATATATAATATTATATTATAATATTATATATTATAGCCTAAATATATGATCTAATCAATTACATTCATTAAAATAAATAAATAAATAATTATACTCACCATTAATAAAACACCTGATGCTGTCGGGAGCTGACAAAAAAATAAATAATTATACTCCCCATTAATAAAACACCTGATGCTGTCGGGAGCTGACAAATTTTGTGAAATTCCGCTCGAAAGGAGTTACAGCACAATGAAGTTGCAGTCTGTAAGACGCGCACGGAAGCGTGACTTGATGCGCAACATTGCAGAAAATGTGCGTTCACCAATGTAGCCTATGTTGATCCACATATGGAAAACACTTTCGAGGTTCTCTCCAGAGATGTTTTGAGTCTGTAAGACGCGCACGGAAGCGTGATTTGACGCGTGACATTGCAGAAAATGTGCGTTCACTAATGTAGCCTATGTTGATCTAAATATGGAAAGCACTTTCGAATTTAATTATCTGAGGTTCTCTCCAGAGATGTTTTGCCACATTTCTGCAATTAAGGATGATTGCTGCGTAGTATGGGTGTTTCCTTTTGAACATCTTCAAGTGAGTGGCGGGGCAAACCGAAAGTCCAGAACTCTCCTACCTTCACTGCTTATAGATTATTGTTGTTTTTGTGTGTTCCTTTGCTGGCATTTTCCACATTTAGTTTTTCTCCCTTAATAACAAATTTGTCCGTTCTGATGCTCAATTTTACCGAACTAATGGCTGCTGATGACTATTTGAATTGAATTCTGCCAAAGTGCGCGCTTGTAAGTGTTCGTTAAATGCGAAACGTTAATTACGTGAGTAGCCTACAGGTCTGCTCATGTCTGAAAATAATATATGAAAAACAAAATTATGTAACAAGGTCCACCTTTAAATAAACATCAACACAACTCAGGTTCGTTTAAATAAATCCCCAAAATGTATTGATGGCTTTACAGAGTTTTTTTTATTACACAGGAGACCTTAAACATAAGTTAACCAAGCAAGAGTTGAGCATCAAACCATACAAAAACAGCAAAAATCACACAAAAACCCATTAAATAAATTCATAAAAAAAATAAACCTCGTGGTTCACACAATTCATCAAAAGTAAATTACATGCAAAAATAGCTCAACTCTGCTTAAACACTAAGCATATAGCGTCCTTGTGAAGTATATATAAGCAATGGGGGAAACAAACAAAAATATAAATAAACAAAAGAAAACTAGTCCGCCAAAAGGGTCGTTCCATTTCCTTCGGCCCACTTACCAATTCAAGTACCCGGGCGGACTAGACAATAAACCCAAAACCAAACATTCAAACCAAAAAATAAACTGAAACCCAAATACAACAAGAGCAACAAATGGGCTCCGTAGAGCTGAAACACATACATTAAAATACCTTTATTATTTATATCAAGACAAACACCACCTATTAAAACATTTTAGTGCTTCAAACAAACTCCTACCTATGTCAAAGATCCAAAAGACGGCATATGCAAACCCCTCGCCTATGAAACAATAGGCTTCATAGAGCTGAAACACATGCATTAAAACACCTTTATTATTCTTCCTAAAACACACACCACATATTAAAACACTTTAAGATTTCAAAAATAAACTCATACCTATCTCCGAGATCCAAGAAAATCCACCTGCGAACCTCTCGCAAACAAACAGTAAAAGTATCGGTCTATTTCCGCCGGCCAGAAACAAACGCACCTACCGTTCTCGTTCCTATCGCTGATCTTTATACATAGCTAACCACACCCCCTTAATTCATGACTTTACTCCCTAAATATCACCTGCCACAATTATTTTACATAACTAAAACATTATAGCTTATATTTGTTTCGTACATTTTTAAATTAATGTAAAAACTAAAATTAATTTTAAAACAAAGTTATTTTTTTAATTGTGTTCAGCATGGTGGGCCGCATTTGAATTCGTGACGGGCCGCGGGTTGAGAACCACTGCTTCATGTAGATATCAATCTTTAATTGCCAGTTAGACCGAATGTGCTCTGCTGATTCAGATTTGCTGCATTAATGTACTGTGTGTCAAATGGTCTGCTTTGTTTTAATGGCTGGTGGTTGCAATGATTATTATAGTTCAATATGTGCGATTGTTGCCTTTTTCTACTTTCTAGTGGATATCTGGTCTGTTGGGTGCATCATGGGTGAAATGTTCAATGGAAAAACACTCTTTAAAGGAAAAGACTGTATCCTTCAGCATTCACTTTGCCTAATTTATTTCCAGTTTTTTTCTGAATGAACATATTCTGAGGGCTGGATTTCAAGAAAGTGAAACTTTCACCTTTTAACATTCTGCTAATTAAATTTCAAATGACTGATTTACAGTCAGTACACTGTCATTTAGTTAATTGCAATTGCATTTCGAAATGCTGTGCCCACTTATTCCCTTTTGTCATGCTTGTCAAGAACAGAAATAACTTGGAAATGGCATGATGTGCATTGTCTTTAACTTTTGACATTCAGACATGGACCAGTTGATTCAGATAATGAAAGTTACAGGGACACCAGGTCCAGAATTTATTGAGAAACTAGAAAGCCCAGAGGTAAGACATTTTCAATGCAACCAAAGATGGTATCTTTAATACATGATATATCTGAATCTTGATTAAACTTGAGACTGTGATGGCTGATGCAACTTGGAATTAATTGCTAATGCAATGTGAAGTAAGATTGAGAAAATGGTCTTGAATATTTAGGGAAAAAATTCAACTTGAATTATTTACGTTTTGCGTGACGGTTGCTGTAGCTACTGTGCTCAGCTGTCATTCCTGATCTCGATCAATGTCAATATGTCTTCATTGCTGTTGAATAGGCAAAAAGCTATGTCAAATCCCTGCCCCACTACCCACGCAAAGACTTCTCGACATTGTTTCCCAGAGCCAGTGAAAAAGGTAAGTAATACCCCAATGAAAAATTACTCCTTTGTCATGTTGTCACATTTCTTGCTTAGCAAGAGACTTTTTTCATTGTAAAACTTGTGATTTAGTTTGACTGCATAGTTGCTCCCTGTCAATGTGACATGCCATTATTTCTGACAAAAATGACAAGATGCTGAGCAAATGCAACAGAACAATTTAAGCAAGTTTTTACATTTTTCACCAAACGTCAGGAAGAATGTCACCTGGTATTGCCACACATATTCTGTACTATGGCACCGCAGTGGAAACTTCTAGATTAGTTATGTATTGCAACTTGGAATTTAATAGGCATCCAAAAAAATATGAAACGTCAGCCAAACATTTTAATGACATTATTATTCGATGTTAGTTTTCTGAAGCTTTGTTAACTCTGCAGTTATTTCTAGAATTGGTAACACTTTACAATAAAGGTTCAGTTAGTTAACATTAGTTAATGCATGTTTACAGCATTTAATAATATATGTTAATTTCTATACTAATACATTAACATTTTCAAGCGGTACAAGCTGTAAATTAACATTAATTGTGAGCAAACATGAATTAACAATGAACAATAGTATATTTATAGATGAACATAAAAGGGGTCATATGATGCGATTTAAATTTTTCCTTTCTCTTTGGAGTGTTACAAGCTCTTGGTGCATAAAGAAGATCTGTAAAGTTGCAAAGACTAAAGTCTCAAATCCAAAGAGATATTCTTTATAAAAGTTAAGACCTACCTAAAACGGCTCGTTCTAACACGCCCCCACATGTCTACGTCACGATGTGGGAAGATTTGCATAACGCCGCCCAAATATTCACGCAAAGAAAGAAGGTGTAACTTTTATTCTCGCTGTAGTATTGTTGCTGCCGCCATGTCGTGAAGGTGCTGTGTGTTTCGTTGTGAAAGCGAAGCTACTTTGTTTGGCCTTCCAAAAGAGGACGATATCCGTGGATATCTTTCACCGTGGACGAAGCGGAGTCCAGCCCGGGGTCGTCACATGTGGTTGCCGCAAGCCCGCCCACCGCACCATTCTCAAGCCCACCGGCCTCCGCTCACTCAAGCCGGCCTCTGCTCACTCTAGTCCCAGAGGGACGCTGTGTTTCGTTGTGAAAGCGAAACTACTTTGTTTGGCCTTCCAAAAGAGGACA